GAACCTTTGTTTTTTTGTAGACAAATTGTAATTGATTGGTCTTAACCTCGCCACATTTCATCCCGTACACAAGTCGCGGTCTTGGGTTCTTGCGAACTTGCTCAACTATGTAGTCTACTACTAATTTCACACCATTGTTTGAAGTCAGTGGTGAAGTTAGTACATACAATATTGTAGGCGTGCATAACCTCACCTTGGTATCACTCCAACCATCCTTATCTAACGAACTAGTGCTTATTAGGTAGACAATTCAACATTTACATTAAGAAAGTTTGCCTCAAGTTAGCTACGAACATGTAGAACAAAAAACTAAATTACCTTGTATCTACCCTCCACGCGCACATGGTCCTTGCGATGACCAATCCTGAGTGAATGACGATACTGGCCTTCACAATGCACTGTGCACACAACCCTCAGCCGACAGCAGAGCGAAAGCGATTGCCGACTGTAACGTACGACGCTTGTTCATCGGAGGACCACGGCGCACGTATCGACACGCGGCTGTTGGAGGTATTTTAAGGCACAAGTGGATAAAGGTGTCATGTAACAAAACCATTGTATGGAGAAAATTGACTTTAAACATTTTTTATTGGAAGTTTTTGATTTTAAATATTCGGTTTAATTAGTTTTTTATTTTTTTTTTTCAACAAGAAAAAATCACAAAATGAAAGAATCACTCCTTAAGGTCAGTTTAATGCAAAAAATTAAATAAAAAAAAAATTTACATGACACCTTTATCCACTTGTGTCTTCATTTCTAAGTTTTCAGGGTAAATGAATAAGTGAAATATGCCTAATAAGGACGTAGAATTTCTGGTGTTAGGGGCGTATAAATGTACCAATATCAAAAAATTTAGATATATCCTCCGCCGTTGGCTGAAACTCCTAACCCCCCCCCCCCCCCAAATTTCAACGACTATTTTTTTCTGAAAATGATCAGGATCCTGTGAAACTGGACCAATTTTCAACAACTACAAAGCTTTTTCGTTCATCATATAGTAGTAACTTTGTGTAAAAAATTCATCAAAATCCGAGCGGTACTTCGCAAGTTATTGGCGCGTATAGGATTAGCACACAGACCGGAATGAGTGACATGATTTTTCATGATGTACATATATACGAGTATATATATATATACACAATTAATTTTTAATTGGGAAATTGGCAAACTTTTAGGTTTAGTTAACTCTTTTGACGATAATATCAAGCTTTCGGCGATTCTCTATGGAGCCTTCATCAGGATTCGTCGTTGAGGTTGCAGCCAAATGGTGTTTTAAAACGAAAAGGTTAGAAACTGCATTCATATTCTGTCCTCAAAAATTTCTTCTCGTTAATTAATTTTTAATATGTCCGGGTATATTGATTTATAGTTTGAACACATAACGATGGTATCTGTCGTTATTAATAAGCCCAATGTTTCCGTCCGATTGTTTTTATATTTGTAACAAGTGCTCCCATCTCCAGATTCATTTTGAAACACCATTTGGCTGCAACCTCAATGACGAATCCTGATGAAGGCTCCATAGAGATGGGAGCACTTGTTACAAATATAAAAACAATCGGACGGAAACATTGGGCTTGTTAATAACGACAGATACCATCGTTATGTGTTCAAACTATAAATCAATATACCCGGACATATTAAAAATTAATTAACGAGAAGAAATTTTTGAGGACAGAATATGAATACAGTTTCTAACCTTTTCGTTTTAAAACACCATTTGGCTGCAACCTCAACGACGAATCCTGATGAAGGCTCCATAGAGAATCGTCGAAACCTTGATATTATCGTCAAAAGAGTTAACGAAAGCCTAAAAGTTTGCCAATTTCCCAATTAACAATTAATTGAATTTTTTGCCCAACTGGTCGTTGGCTGACTACTGCTCATACATATATCTATATATATATATTTGGTAAAACAGATGAAAACAAGGGTAATCAGCATCTCAGATAATACCTTCCACACCTCAAATTTACGTAAACTATCAAAACTGTTCATCAATAATGGTTATCCGAAGTGTCTGATTAACAAGATCATTTTTAGTTCACCTTCCAATATTTTGCCGAACTCTGGTGATGCAGGTAATAGTCGCACAACCCCTAATAACGGAACTGATGTAATTCCCAATAATAACATCAATCCTAACAGTACTAGCACCAACCCGGACTCCAGACCTGGTTTTGCTGTCCTGCCCTACATCAAGGAACTGACCCCTAAGCTGATCAGATTGTGCAGTCCTTTGAACTTTCGAATTGCTTGCAAATCCGTCCTCACTATAAACTGCATTTTTTCAAAAATGAAAGACAAAGTCCCGCTGCTTGGCTTAACTAACACAGTCTACTCCATCAATTGCAACAACTGCAACCAAATATACATAGGTCAGACCTCCAGATCTCTTAAAGGAAGGATTACATCACACAAAAGTGATGCTAGGCTTCATCCTGAAAGATGCGCTCTAGCATCTCATGTTAACACAACAGGGCATTCTATGAATTACACAAGTATCAAAGTTCTTGATAAAGAAAAACACCTTTCCAAACGTTTATTCCTGGAAATGTCCCACATTTTCATGAATAACAACTGTATCAACAAAAAGACAGATGTTAAACAACTGAGTGTCATTTACTCATATTTGCTAAACTGCGAAAAATTGGAGAACTTACATATCTCCCCAAATTTCAACTCTTCACAACCATAATTAGAATCTGTGTTTTGGCCGTTTCCACCAGTAAAATTCATTCCACTCAAAATATAATAATTCTCTCCTCACGATTTATTAATAATTGTTAATTTAAATTCCCATTAATAATAATATAGTTTATTCAACTGCCTCTGGTCGGTTTAACAAATTCTAACATAAAATTCTGAAAATCTCATCATCTGAAGTGATTTGGCAACGTTTTGGCACACGCCCACAATTCGTTCCATCTTTCAATACTGACATTGACATCCTTCGGCCTTCTGTCAAAGGGTTTCATGTCACTCATCAATTCATCATTCCATGACCACTAATTTGTGCAATCATCAGGTGGTTTCACGATGTAATGCTCTAATTTTTTAAATAATTTTTAATCTGTTTTTAACTTGTTCTTGTCATGTTTTGTATAAATTTTGACTATTGTGCAATCTGTTCAGCTCTCACCATGTTACTGGACGTTTCCCTCATCCTATACGTAAACAACAATTAGCAACATCCTCACATACTACTGTAAGTTGAGTCAATTCAAATTCATTTTACACCTTTGTTGCTACTGTTATCATTGTAATTGCAGCTCCTGATGATGATGGCAAAGTCCATTGAAAGCTAGAGAGAATTAAAAAAAGTATAAAGAGTCCTCTTTGCTTAATTCTTGTCGAAGTACCCAACAAAAGGCGGAAGCTTTAATTTTTCACCTAACTGGTCTAGACGACAATGACCACGTCTCAAATTATAGATATATATATATATATAAATGAATCCCTATTTCGCGTGGTCACGCCATAGCTTGAGAACGCCTTTACTGATTTCATTCATATTTTTTTATTAAGTTTCCTAATACTGTGTACAAGTTTCAATAGAATTCCACAGAAAATTGGGAAATCATTGAAAACCTAATCACTGTTTAAGCTACGCGCAAGCACCAATAGAGACAGGCACTCCTCTCCGCCATCTTTATTCCAAAAGCTATTGGCAGTTAGCTATGTGAGAGATAATCGCTTATGAAAACACGCTGCTTTCGTTTTTGGGCTTACATTTCTTTACCATCCGTACTTTGTCATGGACCTTTCAAAAGAAACTGCAGTATTGCCTAATTGTTATCTTTGTCAGTTAACTCTATGAATAAAAATGGCTGACGAAAATACGTTTCTTTTACTTAATTGACTTTAACTACTTTATCATTTTGAACTTGACAGCTCACATGCCGCAAATTTATATTATCGTTTAACAGTGTTCATCGATGAAAAAATATTGCTTTATTTAAATAGTAGTGCACAGTCGATTCGATCAGATCTAGTTCTCAGTTTATTCAGTGACTATTTTGAGAAGTATTTGTTCATAAATAATTAACACGCCTTATGTTAAATTTTAATTCCAATCCAGGTGCATTCAGTTATGACGTGGTAATTGATTGCAGTTCACAACAGATAGTTGCTATTGCACCAATGAAGGTTGTGAGTCCACATTGCAAGGCTAGAAGTAAGAACGACTTCTGGAAAAGAAAGAAACTTGCATTGCAAACAGCATTGAATCGGTTTACGAGTCGATGTGGTTCGAACATAAATTCAAATACCGACACCTTCAGTGGAACATTTGCACCGAACTGAATTCCTGTACGCCTGTGAACCAATTCACATTCCCGATTGTAATTCACACAGTTTAAAACGGCTATATTCGCGATTTTAGGTTAGTTTGCATGCATTTCGAGGTCCCTTTTACGGCACACTTTGAATAACTCGGTGCTTTCAGTCATTAAACGCGCAAGGCAACGCTGCATTCTGGCATTGCGCGGCAGTGACGCGACGTGGCGTCTATTACAGCAAATGCAAGTATTACCATACCAAACGGGTAACATTGCTTCTGAATTTTATTTACTTATATATAATCAGCACTACAGACCTTGCAGGTCCAGGGCCTGCTTGGAGATTTTCTTTCGCTCCTTTCCGTTGAAAGCTTTAACTTTCCAATTCTTCACATTTAACTTTCTGCCAAAAACCATTTTCTCCTGGGTCACTCTCTCTGCCTTTTTCCGTGTCTGTCTACGTGTCGCAACCATAAAATTTTTCGAATCGTCACTTGTGTACTTATTGACTTGCAATTGTAAAGCTCCATGATTTCATCGTTTGTTCTTGACTCCAAAACTTCTGCAGCTCTTTTTTCCCATATATCTTTATTCTTCGTACGATGTTACTGTCCCAGATCTTCAACTTCCTTTCTTCCGATTTGTCCCTAGTCCATTTCTCGCAACCATAAATAGTTGCGTTTTTCTTTTACTATGTTCTTCTGAAAATCAATTCCAATCTCAGCATTCTTGAAGTAGGCCTGCGCTTCTACGACCCTTATTTATTCTTCTATTGATATCCACTGCCTCTTCATATCTGCTGTTGATGTTCACATCTAAATAAGTGAAGTTATCTGTGTTTTTGGATCTTAATATGTTCCCGACGATACAGTTATTTACTGCTGGATCTTCATTGTCTACCGAGGTAGATTTTATTTGCTTCCAATCTTGAATTGTATATTGGAGGAAAGCTGATCTACCAAGATCAAAATAGACTCTGACAAAAGAGGTGTAGAGTATCACTACTTGGACATTTAGTGATTTGCTTGATACGGCTGCTGGAGACGACCAGTTCCTCAGCGGTAGCTGACCTTGTAATGACTAATCGGCACGGATGTAATGTAAAAAACCTAAAAAAATTAAACAAAAAACCGACGAAATATCATTTTGCAGACTAGATAGTTCATTCCACGTTTGATCGCTGTGATCGCTATTCGCTGACATTTAAGCGTAAGATACAAAACGAGTTCACAACAAGTGTACAAAAGCTTGTGCTAAGTTAACATCTTTTACAAAAACCTTATGTCACAAAAACCTGTGAAATTTCTAAAAAAAAGACGAAACGTCACTTTTCCAAAATACGTGATACCCGTGCGGTTTGATGTTACCCACCAGTTTATGAAAGGTGTCATCTGTAGATGTTGTTGCGATACTTTAGAATACATTTACTTGGAAACGAATGTATCAGAGCTGCTTTTCAGTGGCCCTGTTGAGTTACTCGGAGTAACTCAGTAGCGTTCAGCAGCAATACCGTTCCACTGTACGTTGTATTCCTGGAACAGTTCGGGAACGTACCACCACTGGAAAGCAGCTCCGTGGAATGATCTCAGATTCTGAGCTGATTACATTTGTCAAACAAGTTTTTAAATGCATCGGCATTCGGCCAAATAATATGGTCCTGCATGACATTGAACGTTCCATCACAAAGTTAGCTTTGTCTTTGAAGCTGAGACTGACGTCTGCGAGGTTTTTGCACTTTCTCCCCAGAGAATATCTTGATGATACAGTTCCCCGAAAAATAAGAGAACCTTCTATTATTTGTTCTTCTAACGTCTCATTTCGAGAATAAACCCTCGGTAGACTATCGAGCGTATACTTGAAAATCATTGATAATTGAATAACAATACATTATACAGGGTGGCGCATCTAAGACGAAACAGACGCATTTACTGGCAGCTCAGTTTTTTTTTGAAAAACGCTCAGACCCGTCGATTTTGTTTTCGAGGGGGACACAAGTTTGGAAAAAAACACGTTAGCACGTGCAGCCCCTTAAGCGGGGGTGACACCACCCCCAAGATCTTAAATGGAAAAGGGGGTCCAGTGATACCTTATTTTAAAGGTCTTTGAATTCCCTTTATAATGATATAAAATTAATGTACTTCAGTTCAGTAGCTTAAATAAAACTAATACATCATCATTAGTGGAGATCAATACACTTGGCAGCAAAGTAATTTAAAAATGAAGAATGAACTGACCCGTTAGGCAAGTAAATGTTGAAAATGGCCACCATGACTCTCCATGCAATAATGAAGATTTTGCTCAAAACGTTGCCGCACATTTTGCAATATTTGACGAGTAATTTGAAGGCACTCATTCACAAGTCTTTGTCGCAGGTCTTTTAATGATGTTGGCTGAGTAGCATAGATTTTGCTTTTTAACTGACCCCACATAAAGGAATCCAAAGGTGGCGATCTTGGGGGCCATTCAATGGCACCTCTTCTACCAATCCATCGATCTGGAAACGTCTGATCTAAATATTGTTGAACACGTAATGCGTAATGTGGTGGGGCACCATCCTGTTGGAACATCAACCTATTCGCAGTGTACCGCCGATCATTCTGATTTTCAATTATGGCTGTTAATGCAGGATCTATCGCATCTTCCAGTAATTCCAAATACATTTCACCGGTCAAATTTCCAGGTAAGAAAAAAGGGCCAACTAAATGATTGCCAAAAATACCAGCCCAAACATTTCATTTTTGTGGCTGCTGTGTATGAACCTCATGATAAATTCTGGGATTAGAATCGGACCAGCATCGGCAGTTATGATGATTTACTACGCCATTTAAGAAAAAGGAACATTCGTCGGAAAAGCAAGTGTTGAATAGAAAATGTTCTTCGTTTATAATTCACTCTTATCTCCACAAAATTGTAATCGCCGACCAAAATCATCTACATTATGTTCTTGTACCAGGTGAATTTTATATGGATGAAAACTATGGGCCTTTAGAATCCGTTGGACAGTACGTCGACTAACACCACACACAGTCTCCAATTTGCGGGTACTTAACGTAGGATCTGCTTAAACTTGCCCTAAAATCCCCACTTCTATTGCTTCGTTCCTTATGGGATTTTCAATGTTGCGTTTTTTATTGGCGACTGACCCAGTTTCCCGAAATTTAACTACAAGTTCTAGAACATATTTTCGATGCACGTTATTGTTCTCATGTCGCTCATTAAATATTTCGGCTGTTCTATTAGCGCACTGATTATTTCCGAAAAATATTTCGATAATTTCAACTCTTTCTGATGTGGAATATACCATGGTTAATTTATGTAAGAAAGCGTTACAAGTTAATTTAGTAACAAAGTTTGGTCAAATCAATCGCAAACTATGTACTAAATTCCTTTTTGAACTAAGTACGAGATATTTCCTTAACTTTCTTTGAGAAATAACTTTTTTGCCACAAAAAAACGCTATATTCAACAACAAAATGATAAACAAACCGTGGGCGTAGTGAAGAAAAGCGTTAACTTATTAAGTAAATTATTTTAGTCATATTTCTTTTGAAAGTAGTACAAACTTATCTGATGTACCTACTAAAGTCTACTTTAAGCTTTAAATCAATAAATCTTCAAAACTACTGAACTGAAGCTCATGTATTTTACATCATTATAAAGGGAATTGAAAGACCTTTAAGATAGGGTATCACTCGACCTGCTTTTCCATTTAAGATTTTAGGGTTGGGGCCATCCCCGCCCAGGGAGCTCGTGTTAACGTGATTTTTTGCCAAACTTGTGTCCCTCTCGAAAACAAAATCGACGGGTCTGAGCGTTTTTCCAAAAAAAAAACTGAGCTGCCAGTAATTGCGTCTGTTTCCTTTTCGATGCGCCACCCTGTATATTTTGGTCAGAAAGTATGCCATCATTGGCCAAGCACATCATAGCACCCAGATGGCTCGGTCCACGAAGGTATGTGTAGCACCTTTGAATTTTTTTAAACTCACTTTCAACGGAGCTATCCTAAAGTAAACGATCCACACACACCCCCTCCTCCCTCCTCCTAGTGTCCCCCAACCACCCCTTGAGGTACTGAAAATACTACCAACTAATAGTAACATTTTTGGAAGCTAGCAAACTAATATTTTCTTAATAATATATCATTAGCTGCATTTCAACTGTTTTGACTTTTATTCATACTTCTTGCATTTTTACCCAATTTAAGGAAAGTGAAGGGGGAAAAAGGCAAGGCGTCGATTTACTACACAGGCCTACAAGAAACGTATATCCTTTAAACTTCGCCATTTAAGTCTGACATTTAGGCAGCAGCGGTGGCCGCAGTAGTAGACTCTTCGGTCTCCTGATCAGTCGCCGTGCGCTGTGCGGGTTCGAGTCCCGTCCCAGGAGAAATGTTTCTCCTGGCTATGGATGTTGTGATTGTCCGTAGGTGGTCTTTGACTATCGAACGTGGAGGTACCACCCGGCGGATCTCGTAGGCGGAACCAGAATGTGTGCATGTTGCATGCACACGTGTTCCCTCGCCAGAGTCCGTGTGGCGTTCCCCCTTTCCCCTGTATCCCCCTATAGCCCCACGGTACCCAATGGGTGTTTAGGCCTTAGGCCTTCGTGGTAGTTGGAGTATAAAAAAAAATCCTTACTTTACAGGTACATGTGACATATCATGTCTAGTGGACATTTGTCTTCTGAATACGAGTCCGTGGGCAGTTTTGATCTACCCTCCTATTGTCTTCCAGAAAATTGCTAAAAAGCTTCATAAAATGAAGACATCTAATAATAAGAAAAATGATAAAATGTCTTTATTAGAATCACATACAATAAGGCAAGGTTTAGCCAGTTGACTACTCTCACACCCAACCCTGTTTTGTGAGGAAACATGTACATGCAATACAAAATAAGATAGAGACTGACAGTAGTTAAAATATAGTTAGTAGTGCGTTATTAAGAATATATTTACACCAACATTAAGGAGCAGCTGTAGGAGTTTAGGTGGTGTATTCGACTGTTTTTTCAGTAGATACTACAGGAGCTGATTTTGATACTTTTTATCTAAATAAAATTCAAGCCAAAAACCGCCCTTTTTAACACTTCTCTTTTTTGTTATGCAATACACTGATAATTATGTACCCAAGAAGCCAAAGAAGCTCGACATGAATACACATGTTTATTATTTATCAATGTTCTCTTTCATCATTATTACTTAGCTAGGCATCTCCGTAAGATAATGCGGTAAATAATAGTTTCTCGGGACAGTAGTGAAAACATTGTTTATCCCATTTTTGAGTACTTTGAAGTACTTGTAGCTGCATGTTGTGTACCTTTCAGTAGAGATACACTTTTAAGGAAATGTTTGACCTGCAATTTAATGCTGCAGACTCAATATATTATAAATATGTTCGCATACAAGGTGCCTTTTTCTGCAGATTCTTCATTATACATATACGTATAATTAGTATGTATTAGGAGTTTTTGGTGAATAAAAAGGTTACTCAAACAGAGCTGTCTTCTAACATTGCTAATATTGAATCGAGACTTGCAAGATCTATGGAGACGATGCACTCAGGCAACGGCGCTTCTTCTACCCCTATTGCCCCAAGCTCCCAAGCTGAGACAGTGGAGTTATTTAGACGTTCCCACAATATCATTCTGAGGGGCATAGCTGAAGGGAACGATGACATAAACATAGTATCAGAGATAATTAGGCATATTGAACCATCTGCCGAAAATCATCGACTCAGCATCACTCGCCTTGGCAGAACAACTTCAAGCAATCGTTTAATTAGAGTTGTGTTTTCCTCACCTATTATCGTCAGCAATA